CGCCTTATCCTACCTGCTCTGCAAGGGTATCGCTTCTAGTATTTTTACTTTCTCCTTCTACCCTATGTTTCGAACACGTTTTGGTATTGATGCAGCCCGCTACCAGCGGCTTTCTGCTGTTATGAAACTTGCTTGGGCCATGAAGGCCTCTACTGCCATGCTTTGCGATACATTCGCCTTCCTTGGTTACACCAAGCGCTGGTACATGTTTGCCTCGTGCGTGGTGGGCAGCGTCTTCGCGTTGCTCTACGGCTTGTTGCCAGCCAAGCCGTCTTCTGCTGATTTTGCTACTGCTTTTGCCGCTCTGAGTAAGTATGGTATTGCCACTGTGGACATTCTTTCCGAAGGCTATTACAGCCGTCTTATGCGTAAAATTCCAGAGGCTGGTCCGGCGCTGGTGAGCTGGGTCTGGTGGATCATTACCATAGGGAGTTTGCTGGCTTCTATTCTCCAGGGCCCGTTATCAGATCTTAAGATGCCGCAAGTCGGGGTGTTCATCGCCGCTGGGCTGCAGTTCATTGCATCTTTGATCTACCTCCTCAACCTGTACGGCGAGAAGACGAACCGCGAGGAGCGCATTGAGGATGCATGTAATATGCACAAGAAGCTACTCCTGGATCTCGAGAAGGGGAAAGCCCCAGGCCGTACGGAGGGGAGGGAAGGCACTTTCGATGTGGATCAGGAAAAGGCTCTACAGCTGGAGGCGAGCCCAGAGCTTTTGCTGCCGCAGCCGATCAACGGTTGCTGCGGACTTGTAGAGATTAACAAGGAGGTCGTCATGCGGAACAAGAGGATTGTTGTACTCAGCATTATCATGACAGCCGCGGCCATGATCATGGCTTTCGGCAACCTCTTCGTAGGTAAGCTAGGGTTGCTTATTATCTGCGTAATGGTGTCGCTGGTGTGCTCTGTGATGTCCTTCTGGGGACTGCCACTGATTATTGCAAAGGCTAACGTCATGATTTATCTTAATACCGTGCTCTACATACAGTTACCAGGTCTCCTGGACAGTTTTTACCTCGCTAAAGAAGATTGCCTTCCTGACGGGCCGCACTTCTCAAATACTTTCTACAATACTATTGCTGTTGGTATCATCGGCAACTTGACAGGTTTAGTCGGTATTACGGCCTTCAATTATATCTTCTCGAAGTGGAAATACCGTCTATGCATAATTGTAACAACGCTTCTATGGATGTCTGCCTCCGTCTTCGACCTTATCATGCTCAAGCGTTGGAATGTAAAGATAGGCATTCCTGACCACGTTATGTACGTTTGTGGTGACGCCATCATTGGACAAGTGTGTTACATGCTTG